AAGACATTTACAAATGAGATTTTCAACCATAAAAACACCTTTATGATTTTCTGCAGTCTTTTAAAGGTGTTTTCAAACTATAGAATTACAGCATATTAGCTCAAACCTAGTTGGAGCATTCAGTTCCTTTACTGGTGCAGCAAGGACTTCCTTTCATTTTAAATAAAATGGAACATCCTTGAATTTTACACCCTCAATCTGATCCTCTTAGACAGTCTAAGTTATTTGTGCAGTAAACTCTCCAGACTTGAAATCAACAGCTTTACATAAAGTTTGCTAAGAGTGAGGAGGCTCCGAAACAGAAGTACTGCAATCACTGAAACAACTGTTCTGAAGCAGTCAGGTGGGAAAATCCCCTGAAATAACGGCCAGTGAGGGCTGCAGATGATGGTAACACTATCTGAAGGTGCTTTCACACCTGCTTGTTTGGTGTGGTGGAATCGCCCCCCTGAGTGTTTCCGTCCTGGTTTATCGTATTGTGGTGGTGAGAAAACCCTAAAGCAAACAGCTGAACCCTGGTCAGTCTCAGTTAGATACTCATGGGCTGCTTTCATGTGAATCGTGGGAGTTGCAGAGGGATGCAGTGATCAGATGTTTTGGGGCTGACTCAGATAACAATAAAGTACCATGCATTATCAGTAAAATAGCATAGGTAACTTAATATTGATCTGCAGAGTTTTTAGTGTGACTGTTGGCTGCAGCTTCAATCAAAATGTTGTGTTCCTTTGAACAAAATACGCCCAAACTAACAAGGTATTCAATCAAAGTGAGTCTTCGTCATTTTGACATTGCGGTTCAGTTTGTTCTCCTGTGAAATGCTGCAGTTAAGCATCATTTTCAGTACTGATTTCAGAATCTGTAAGTGGGGTGGCCTCAATTACTGTAAACAGGAATAAAGTGGGGTTTTTTCTTAGTCTGGAAGGCGAAGTATAAAATTAAAAAAATCTATTTCCAACTGTATGTGTTTCAGTTGATTACCTAACTGGTGTCTAATTTTAGCCAGTAATCAGTAATTTAGAGGAAAAAAAGGAAAGAAATTAAAAGAGCCACAGAAAAGAGGAGTAAAGGTGGAGTGAAGAAAACTGGGACAGCAGGCTGGATTGTGTGAGAAACCAATAAAGCTGTTGGCACGTTATACATCTAAAATGCATCGTCCATTGTCTTGAAGTGCCCTCTACCAGGAGAAGGCAGTGAAGGGCGTCTCAGAATAAATAAAGAGGAGGTGATCAGTGGCTTTGCATGTCAATAGCAGATATTAGAGACTGTCTTTGTTTGCTTCCTGATGATAACTTTTTTCTAAGTGCACTATGTACACTGATATATGGGGCCAATATTGATATTTCTGCGAGAAACAGCAATCATGTCGTCTATATTTGATGTAGCCCCATTTAAAATCCCATCTGTGGCATTGCAGTGTAAGAATACAGAGGACATTGATTGCAAAATTAGAAGTATGAATGAACAGTTTATGTCCAGTATATTATCTGTGAATTTAGTCTCAGACTTAAAGTGTTTTATAGTATGATTTCTGTGTCGACGCAGTTTCCACAAGTATGAAATAATGATGATGTAAAACAAAATAGCTGCAAATTTTGACTAGAATGTGCACTGTCTATGTAGACGTAAATACAGGGAGGATGAAATTCACTGAAAGCAGACAGATTGCTACTGACATGCACCTACATCCAAGGATACACATCTACCCACACACCCACCCACACACACACACACACTATGTCCTCATCTCCCTTTCATCTGGGCAGACACATCCCTCATCCCGCTTTAATTGCTGTGCTGTGAATCATTAGATCCAGGGGTACAGCCGTGGTCACACAGGACAGGTTTAATAACCTCCATCAAACCCCCCTGCATCCCCACTCGCCTGCTACATGGCTGCTGTGACCTCTGCTCTATGTGCACACACAGGACACCATTTCTAACACATGACCTTTGAGCTATTTAAGTTTAAATTCTTAGAAACACGGCTTTTCGGTTTCACACTAGTTGCTCAGTGCAGCATTGAAGAACAGATACCGTCACAGACGAACCATGATGTATTTTTAAATGTTTCAAAATGCAGCTCTAAGAACAGTAGTAATCATTTATATTTTTGCTTTGCTGACTGATGATATTTTTTTTAGCTAAAATCAAGCATATTGCCTCTTGGAATTTAAACCTCTCATTTCCTTTGTGGACATTTTCTTGACATTGCTATTATTAGTGGCACGACCGCTGATGGTTGTAATATAATGTGAGTCTTCGGAAGCTCTTCTTGGCTGTGTGCAGATGGTCAGTTTTGTTGCGAATGTGTGTGACTCATGTATTCAGTGAAGCCGAAAAGCACAACTATACACAACTCGGCCCCCGAAAATCGTCTGCCAGCTAAAATTGGAAAGCCTCCAAAGCTCTGTTCAGCAGGCAGTGGATCTTCAGCATTTGGACATGTTGTACCTGCCAAATGGCCCCCGGATGTCATGCCCTTCATTCATTATTGGAGCGAGAACTCTATCGACTCTGTCTGATAACTGTGTGAGGATTAATAAGTGGAAGGAGGAAGATTCCCTTTGAGTTGTAGAGCATGCACTCAGAAATGAGTCATTCTGAGTGCACTCATGCATCTCATGTGTTTGCATTGCAACACTGAGGGCGACATGTATTTTAATTTTTTAACGGAACGTGTTTGTGAGCAGATACTGTATGTATGTTGAGTTGATTAGTAAAGTCTAACCCCTGGGTTGATGTAATGCAAAGAGATGGTATTCACAAATTGTAAAATAGTCCATAAAAGTTTTTGTGTTTCTCATCCCTCTAAACCCTCTAATCTCCAGGCTGCTGACTTTAATCTGTGTTTAGCTGATAGTCTGACAGCTGTAAAGCTCTATCAGTGCTAATTCTGTAATGTATACTGTATACTAATTTAATAATGTAACATGTAGAAAATGTGTGTTTGTGCATATTTTGGACAAGCACACTGATCTTTAAGGGCATCATTTCTGCTGCCGATTAGAAGGGTGGGGTTGGCGTGGTCATGTCCCCCTCACTTGTTAAAATCCTATTTTTGTTGCTCCACTTTTATTGTTTCAGATTGATTTTCTAAATGCAATCTCTCTGAACACTGTCCTCTAACTGTCCAGCTGCCATGAAACAGATGAGTGGATAAAATCTGTTGCTCATCTGAGACGTTATCTTCGGTTATTACTGTGAGTGCGCTCTAACATTGACAGCGCAATGGACAGTTTTAACTTAACTTAACACTGAGTGGCTATATACAACTTTTCACCTATGCAGTAGTACTCCCCAAGATGTGTAAACAGACTTTGATGTGTAAAAATCAGTTGAGTACCTCTTTAAGGAGCCACCGCGAGTGCTCTGCAGCCTTTTTTTTTTTGCTGGGTTTTGCCTCTCAGGCTACACACAGACTGCTGTACTTAGTTGGTGGAGGTTGTCAAGGCATAAAGGAAGACCTTCAGACACTACTAAGGGCTGAAATTATTATTGGCTACTCCTGTTTTTAGTCAAACATCTTCCAGAATGATCCACCCTGTCAAGAAAACTAAAAAAGATTTAAAGTAGGCTTAGTGAATTATTATGGGACGCACATTACCCGATTTAATCATATTTTATTATTTGTTAGATTGACTTAAATGTATATAAATACAGGTCTGAAACAGTAGTGCGCCTCTGCTACCTCCTCTCATGATGTGTAATCAACCACTGTAGCTCTGTCACAAACACAGCTCTGCACCCTCCCACCGCTCAGCTGCTCACCACTAACATTTCCCTTTGATCAGAGGTACGACTAATGAACTCAGCTCGAATTTTTGTTTCATGGTGTTACTGATGCACCGCTGCCTCTGATACATCTGATGTCTCTGTGATGATAAGAAGCTTGGTCAAAGTCAGATTAATGAAAGAATGTCAGTGTCATCCACCTTCTGTTTGATGGATGTGATACAGTTTGATTGATTGTTGTGCAACTGATCAACACAAGTCTGCTTATCTATTAGAGATCCTTAAATTACAGAATGCTAATCCTAAAAACAGCTTCATCCTACAGTGGAGGAACATTAATTTTGCATCAGTGACACGCATGTCACATTATTAGTTCCAGTGGTGCACAGTAGCACAGTTTATAGCTTAAAGGATGCCAGCAGAAACATGTTTCTGCCTCTCTCTGTCCTTTGTGTGCCACTGTTTGTTCGATTCACTGGTGGGGGGAGGGAAAGGCCAGTTGTATGATCAGTATTGATCTTTGAAAGCTTATGCTCCAGGCCAAATGTGAATGCGAGCGTGCAGGCGTGTCTTCATCGGCACGTACGCTGTTATGTCAGTGGACGGGTGACCCACAAAAAGGGGTTTGTGGGCCATTTGCCAGGTTGCAAAGCGTGAATGGACAGAGCTCTCTGTCGAGTGTTGACTCAGATAAAAAAGCTGTATCGTTCATTCAGCAGGTGAGTTTGTTGGTGATTATTAGTCAAGCAGGTCACACACTCATACAAACACACAGAGGGTCAAGGGCACCGGCAGGACTGAGCACAGCAGCATGAAATTACATGTCATACTAATAGGAATCATGTCAGCCCATGAGAGCACACGGTTAACTTCACAGCGCGATCAATTAGTGATCAGTTCATGTGACTCTGCTCTGCTGCTGCTACTGTACTAACTGATGATGACTGTGTCCAGTGAGTCATTTTTTCTGTTTAGTCCTCTCTTGTTCCTCCTTCTTGGTTTCTAAATATATGTGAATGGGGTTATTTTAGATGCAGCTCCAGGAGGATGTTAAAACACTAATATTATTTCAGAATATAAGTTGGCTTGTGTGACTGAATTAGCTCAGTTGTGTCAATAGCAGGGTTGGACTGTTTGAGAATGCTGCCCTCATGTGTCTCCTTGTAGAAATGCAGCACCAAGACCCAAACAACAAGTTCCCATATCAGTATACGCTTTTATAATGTGAATAATATTGATAAAATAACACATCCTTATTTCCATTGCAGGTTATGGACACACTATCTAAACTTTCCCACACAGCACTCACACAACAAACTGGAATCAGGTAAGTTGAAGGGAAATGACACAATACATACAAATATAATATTTTTTTAATAGATATGAAACAATGTAAGCATTGGTACACAGTACACATTATATGACCCAATCCATGCATATTCTATGGCAGGGTATATAATGATGAGATTTTAACACAAAATGCTTTCTGTTTCTCCTCCAAGGCCCTTTCCATCCGAGGAGAGTGTTGAAGATGAGGATATTTACAACCACCTGGAGGACCTGATAGAGTATGTTCCCTCTCCTCTTCTACAGACACCCGTGTGCATAACACCCGTGAAAGTTGGAGAATTTTACCTTTCTCTTTTACATGCTTGTGAGCGTTTTTCACTTAAATATAACAGGTTGTTGTGGGCGCAGACAACATTTGTTCCCTGGGTGTTGACTGGAAGGCAGCCACCTCCTCCGAGGCTTTCAGTATGAGCTCGCCAGACTCTTTTTGTAGTTAACCACAAGGCGTGTGGGCTTGAGGCTTGATCATTTATTCAGGCCTTGCACTTAACATATGATGACAACTAACCATCTTATGATTGATGTTTTAAGGAATTTTATTCCAAAGCAAAACAAATAATGCATTTTTCACAATTACACAATCCACCTACATTGCAAGCAGGACTCCTGGCACGGTGCCTTGCAAAGCCCTTTATCTAAATGAAATGCAGCAATAAAAACTGAATCTGAAAGCTGTTCAGAGACTTGACTGTGGCTTGTTTATTATGGATTTTTTTAAGGCAATATAGTTTAGAATATTTTTAGACTGAAGTTGTCAGATGCCAATTTATTCACATATTTTTGCCATGATTTTTACTTCAGCCATTTTTTGTATTCATAGCGCTAAGCTCATATATATGTATATGTCTATTGTTATATATATATATAATATTGGCTATATTTGTCTATACAAAAAAATATGGGCTTTTGAGTTGCATTTTAAGGGCAGAGCTCCTGTAACTTGTGTGGTATTGTCAGTCAGTCATGTGAGTCAGTGGAGACAGATAATCATACGGTAAAACTGCTGTTGGGAAGCCTTACACTGCCACGGTGCTCTGGTCTATGTTTAGCGCTGACAGCTCCAAGCAGCCCACTAGTCAGTAGTGACAGAGGAAAACAGCAGCCTGACAGCATCCAGCTGTGGATGGGAGCGGAAAGTGGCAGCCTGGATCGCACTGAACACAGCCAAGTTCTGCTCACAACTCCAGTCTGCTCAGTGGTCAGCAGTTATCAAATGGACATAACATAACATGTACAGAATCACACATACGCTCAGACACAAAACCCATTCATCCAAAAACGAGAGCTTCACTACCACTTCTCAGTTTTATTCATCACCCTTTTCCTCCTGAGCATTTACATACCAGAGGGAAAACCCTGGATAGTAGTGTTTTGTGTTGTGTGGTTACATGTATAAAAATACTTTATACCCCATCCTGGATGCATCATTTGAAAAGTGTCCTGAGATA